AGCAATCCTCCCACCTCAGCCTCCTAAGTAGCTGGGACTAGAGGCGCGTGCCACCACGCCCAGCTAATTTTTGTATTTTCCGTAGAGATGGGGTTTCGCCACGTCACCCAGGCTGGTCTCAAGCTCTTGAGCTCAAGCAATCTATCAGCCTCGGCCTCCCAAAGTGCTGAGGTGTGAGCCGCTGCACCTGGCCTGTTGGAGGCTTTTGAGCAGGGGTGAGACACAACTAGATTTACATTTGGAAAGGTGACTGATGGCCGGGCGTGGTGTCTCATGCCTGCAATCCCTGCACTTTGGGAGGCCGAGGTGGGTGGATTGCCCGACCTCAGGAGTTCGAGAGCAGCCTGGGCAACATGGCAAAACCCCGTCTCCACTAAAATACAAAAAAAAAAACAAAAACAAAAAACAGCTGAGCATGGCAGTGTGAGCCTGTAGTCCCAGCTACTCAGGAGGGTGAGGCAGGAGAATTGCTTTAACCTGGAAGGCAGAGGTTGCAGTGAGCTGAGATCGTGCCACTGTACTCCTGCCTGGGCAACAGAGCGAGACTCCGTCTCAAAAAAAAAGAAAGGTAACTGGGGCAGCAAGATAGATGGAGGATGGGGTCAAGGGGCCCACACTGGAGGCTGGGAGGCTGGGAAGCAGTCAGAAGACCTGTAGTAACTGCAGCTTCCTTTCTATATTAGCTTATAGGGCTATCATAACAAAAATACCACAGACTAGATGCTTAAACAAAAGAGATTTTTATTTTCTGGAGTCTATGAGTTTACAATCTGGGTGTTGGCAGGTTTGGTTTATTTGGAAGCCTCTGTCTTTGGCTTGTAAATGACCACCTTCTTACCATGTCCTCACATAGCTTTTTCTCTGTGCAAGTGTATCCCTGGTGCTTCTGTGTGTGTCCAAATTTCCTCGTATAAGGACACCAGTCTGATAGGATTATGGCCCAACCTAACAGCCTTGTTTTAACTTAATTGTCATCTTCAAATGCATGATCTCCCAATACAGTCACATTCTGAGGTTCCAGGAATTAGGCCTCAACATATGAGTTTGGAGGTGACAGGAACACAATTTAGCCCATAACATTTTCTTTTTCTTTTTTTTTTGAGATGGAGTCTTACTCTGTCACCCAGGCTGTAGTGCAATGGTGTGGTCTCAGCTCACTGCAACTTCCACCTCCCGGGTTCAAGCAATTCTCCCGCCTCAGCCCCCCAAGTAGCTGGGAGAATAGGCACCTGCCATCACACCCGGCTAATTTTTTGTATATTGAGTAGAGGTGGGTTTCACTATGTTGACCAGGCTGGTCTCAAACTCCTGATCCACCTGCCTCGGCCTCCCAAAGTGGTGGATTACAGGCGTGAGCCACCGTGCCCGAAGCCCATAACATTTTCTATTGGTAACAGGTATGGAATGGGGTGTGGACACCACTGGCTGATAAGATTAAGTCATTTCCCATTCCATCATTAGGAAATAGCCAACTCCTGTAGTCCATCAAAATTATCTGTAAAATGGGCTTTGTGACCTGTTAATAAAGACTACTTTTACCTCTGGATCCCGAGACACAGCAGAGAATCTGATACAGATCACACTAGGGCTCACTGCATTAATGGAGGATGAATGAAGGAATTCATTATCTGTAGTGGTAACGCACACTGAAATGTGGCTTGTCCTCAGACTCTATGAAAAAGAGAGTTGTAGAGTAAGACTTACCTGGTGTTTGACAGGGCCAGGAGCTCTCACCTCTGTGATTCAAAGGCATTTAATACTTTCTTTTTGAGACAGAGTGTCACTCCATTGCCCAGGCTGGAGTGCAGTGGTGCAACCACGCCTCACTGCAGCCTCGACTTCCTGTGCTCAAGTGATCCTCTCACTGCAGCCTCGTGAGTAGCTGGGACTACAGGCATGCACCACCACACCCAGCTAATTTTTTGTATTTTTTGCAGAGGCAGGATTTCATTATGTTGCCCAGGCTGGTCTCAAACTCCTGGGCTCAAGCAATCCGCCTGCCTCGGCCTCCCAAAGAGCTGAGATTACAGGTGTGAGCCACCACAGCTGGCCCAAGTAGTTTCATTTCAAGACCAAATTGTAGTTGTGATGCTTTTGTCTCCCATAGGTCAGGAGCTCCCGGAGAACCCGGTTTTATACATCCGTCTTTGTATTCCCAGCCAGTAACCCAGGTTCAGAACAGAACACATGTACATTATAGTTTGTGGAAAGAATGAGATAATTAGATTAAGAACTTGTGATGGGCAGGAGCTGTAATTTTGCAATCTGGTTGTGTGTTTGTGGTTCATGATGTGTGCAGTCCTGTTTGTTTGTGGTTCACTTTTTTTTTTTTTCGACGGAGTCTCGCTCTGTCACCCAGGCTGGAGTGCAGTGGTGCAATCTTGGCTCACTGCAAGCTCCGCCTCCCAGGTTCATGCCATTCTCCTGCCTCAGCCTCTCGAGTAGCTGGGACTATAGGCCTGGCTAATTTGTTGCCGGGCTAATTTGTTGCATTTTTAGTAGAGACAGGGTTTCGCTGTGTTAGCCAGGATGGCCTTGATCTCCTGACCTTGTGATCCGCCTGCCTCTGCCTCCCAAAGTGCTGGGATTACAGGTGTGAGCCAGTAAGCCTGGCCTTTTTTTTTTTTTTTTTTTTTTTGGTGGTAGTAACAGTGGAGAGCCCTCAATAAATGCTTCATTGGGAAAACTGAAACCAACAGCTGAGAACTGCCTTATCTCACTGCTAAATCTGTAAATTGATTTTCTTCTTTCTTGTTTCAGTGGAGAAGATACTTTCTCCTATCAAAGGCCAGAGGTTTCAAATATGCCCTGGAGCCTAACCCGTTACCTTTTTAAGATTTTAAGTCATTAACTATCCCCTTCTTTTATTTTCTACCTCTCTACTGGAATATCCCCAACATTAAACATACTCTATATTCCTATGTTTGGTTGTTTTTTTTTTTTTTTGGTTTTTTTTTTCCCCTTTTTGTGGAGAATGGGGTCTTGTTATGTTGCCCAGGCATGTCTCAAACTCCTGGGCTCAAGCTATCTCCCAGCCTCTGCCTCCCTAAAGTACTGCGATTATGGCGTGAGTCACCATGTCTAACCTCTAATTTCCTATCTTAAAAAAGCCTCCGACCCCATGTGGTGGCTCACGCCTGTAATCCCAGCACTTTGGGAGGCCGAGGCAGGTGGATCACCTGAGGTCAGGAGTTCGAGATCAGCCTGGCCAACATGGTGAAACTCCGTCTCTACTAAAAGTATAAAAATTAGCTGGGCGTGGTGGCGGGTGCCTGTAAACCCAGCTACTCAGGAGGCCGAGGCAGGAGAAACTGTAGTTCCAGCTACTGGGGAGGTTGAGGTGAGAAGGTCGCCTGAGCCCAGGAGGTCGAGACTGCAGTGAGCTGAGATCGTGCCATTGCACTCCAGCATGGGGGACAGAGCCAGACCCAGTCCAAAAAAAAAAAAAAAAGTGTTGGACTTGTTGTTATCAATGTGTAGTGCCTTACATTGTATCAACTCATTTAATCTTCACAATAGCATGGTGGCTGGGGGCCGGGGAGGACAATTGTAAACCCCATTTTAAAGAAAAGGAAACACAGGCACAGAGCAGCAGAGCTGGGATTACGAACCCAGGCAATCTGGCTTTAGAGACCATACCCTTAACTGTACTAGAGCATTATCCCAATTTATGTTGATATATTTGTGACTTTATTTCTTCAGCAATTATCTCCCTCGCCAATGCACAGGTCTGCGGGAGCATGGACTGTCTGAAAGGTTCTGAGTTTAGCTTCAAGCACAGTGCCTGGCACATACCATTTGTTGAATAAATGGATCTATCTATATGTGTGTGTGTGTGTGTGTGTGTGTATATATATATATATATATATATATATATATTTTTTTTTTTTTTTTTTTTGAGATGGAGTTTTGCTCTTGTTGCCCAGGCTGGAGTGCAATGGTGCGATCTCGGCTCACTGCAACCTCCGCCTCCCGGATTCAAGCGATTCTCCTGCCTCAGCCTCCTGAGTAGTTGGGATTACAGGCATGCGCCACCACGCCAAGCTAATTTTGTATTTTTAGTAGAGACGGGGTTTCTCCATGTTGATCAGGCTGATCTTGAACTCCCGACCTCAGGTGATCCGCCCGCTTCGGCCTCCCAAAGTGCTGGGATTACAGGCTTGAGCCACCGCACCTGGCCTACTGGATCAATATCTTTTTTTTTTTTTTTTTTTTTTTTTTTTGAGACAGAGTCTCGCTTAGTCGCCCAGGCTGGGGTGCAATGGCGCGATCTCGGCTCACTGCAAGCTCCGCCTCCCGGGTTCACGCCATTCTCCTGCCTCAGCCTCCCGAGTAGCTGGGACTACAGGCGCCCGCCGCCTCGCCCGGCTAATTTTTTGCATTTTTAGTAGAGACGGGGTTTCACCGTGTTAGCCAGGATGGTCTCGATCTCCTGACCTCGTGATCCGCCCGCCTCGGCCTCCCAAAGTGCTGGGATTACAGGCGTAAGCCACCGCGCCCGGCCTGGATCAATATCTTTTTAAAAAATTCCTCACTGGGAGGAATCTGATGTAGGACTGAATCCCCATATTTTAGAAGCTGCCTTGTCTCTTCTCGCCTCGATTTCCCATCCTGTTAATCAGGAGACTCAGGGTGGGAGGACAAAGCCAGGTGCAAGAGGCGCGAGCGCAGCGACTAGCAAAACGGAGTCGGAAGCCGGAATCTTCAGTTTCCCCCGCTGCATGAGGCACCATGTGCACCACGTGGACTAAAGGAGACACTGTCTTCTCCATTTTGAAGCGGTGTCCAGGCTTCAAGACCCAGATTCCAATTTCTCACTGTGAAGAAGCTCGGGAAAACTGGGAACTGGGGGAAGTGCGCGGGCAGGCATTACCTGGCCCCACTGCCTCTAGGCAGGGGCGGAGTCCGGACCCGGCCACCGCGGGCCCCGCCCCCAGACGGCGGAAGCCGAGCCCGCCCTCTCCGCCCGGGCCTGGGCGTGTCCCGCAGGCGCACGGCATGCTGGGAAGGCGTCCGCGCGGCGGCCATTTTGTCTTGTCGGCTCCTGTGTATAGGAGGGTTTTCGGCCTGAGAGCGGGCCGAGGAGATTGGCGACGGTGTCGCCCGTGTTTTCGTTGGCGGGTGCCTGGGCTGGTGGGAACAGCCGCCCGAAGGAAGCACCATGATTTCGGCCGCGCAGTTGTTGGATGAGTTAATGGGCCGGGACCGAAACCTAGCCCCGGACGAGAAGCGCAGCAACGTGCGGTGGGACCACGAGAGCGTAAGTCCCGCGGGCCTTGGGCCTGAGGCCGGGCTCCGTGGGGGAGGGGAGCGGGCGCGGGCTGTGGCCCGCCGGGCCGCGGCGCAATGTGGGGCCAGGGCCGCACCGGGGTCGAGCGTCTGATCCGGTGCCCAGGGAGCCAGGAGGGAGGATGGCCCAGGAGGGAGGATGGTGTCCGGACCCGGGGATGGGGGTGATTTGGTTTTGTTGTTCTAGTATCAAGGGGGTCCAGGAGAACCCTTGGCAGAATTGAAAAGCACCTTGATGAGGCGGGGAAACGCGGGAAAGAAGTATAGCAGCATCTTATTAAATCTAGCGGCTCCGAGGTTTCACCTCATTGTGAAATAGGGAGAAGGGCACATTCTTCTGTAGTTTGGGTTGAACGTCGTATTTAGACTGAAATTTCTGACTAGGATTCATGGTAAAAATCGTGGCGGTATTTTATTTCAGTAATTACAGCAAGATGCTTATACGGGGAGATAGAAATGTAAAATAAGTAGTTTACTTGTTAGGGGTTACCGTGATGATTTACAAATATTGTTCGTTAACAGTATTCTAATAAGCTGTCAAGGTTTTTTCTAAAACATCAAACTCATTTGATGCCCTTAGCCCTGTGAGTAAAGGTAAATATTATAACCCCAGTTTCACTGGTGAGACTTAAAAAGGCTCACCCAAAGTCTTGGCAACTGAGGAAACTAATCTTTGTAGTTAGCTTTCCACAATCCTATGAAACTGTTTCTCTGCACATACTGTAACATTTTAAGTATTTTGATCTAGTTTTGAACATGCAGTGTAATGTTTACTTTAGGTCTTATCTGGAGAATAGATACAGAATTTAATTTTACTTTGCGGTTGTAATCTAACATGCTAATTTTAAAACAATTGCTAATCAAAGTATGAAGGAATCGTTCAGGTAATGCATGCTTCTTTAGAAAACTATTTTCTTAACTCTTTTTAAACGTAGGCTTTAGTGAAGGTAAAATTTCTTTTTTGCAGTGTAGGAAAGCAAGTTGGTGCTAGATGACTTCTTTTAGTACCTTAAGAAAGAGTAAGTTTGGCTCAAGTTGTGTTGGGGTGCTACCTGATTCCAAAGTAGTATGAAACATTCTTAGAGTAGAATTTATTGTTTTTAAGAGGTAGGTTTTTTGTTTTTATTTTTAACTTGTAGGCTCCCCACAGCACTCCCCCCATTTGTCACAGTAGGAGACTAAGGAACTGCTTATCTTGACCATCTTTTGTAGATATCTTTGTTACAGCGAAGTAACTTAAATTTTTTTTTTTTTAACTACCTAACTCTAACCTTTCAGTCTAAACTTTGCAAAGGTGTTAGGAATAACGCTCAAAATCCTAAGGAAGGTAAAAAGCAAACCAAAACATTATGGCGATTCAGCTGATATGCAATAGGATATTTGTGCATTTTGAATTCAAGAGAAAAATGTTTTCCATTGCACTGCTTATCAGTTGGAGCAGGCTTGTATCTCTGCGCCCTTGGCTTTGAACACGTTTTAGAGAAACTGTTTTCTTTCCCGGGGTAATTTGTTGCCAGATTACATTGTATGCGATAGGTTTATGACTCTGCAATGATGAGGCCCTCAGAATAGCAATTTAGGTTTTATGTCATCTCAGCCATAATCTGCTTTGCTTTCAGTTTTAGTACTTTTCACTAATTTTAACTTTCAGTGTTTGTTACTAAATTATTTAATGCCTTAATGACAAATTGCACTTCATTCTAGATTGAAGGTTACTGACATTTCAGATTCATATCTGCAGGGAAAATGTTGGTAGTGTTGACCAAAAACAAAGCACATGGTCTCATCTAAATAAGTGGAATTATTGTGTAATAAAGCTGGGGAAGCTCTTGATATCGTTTCCGGGTCATCTGCGTATTCTTGTACTGTTGGCTGTTAGTGCTAAACCTGCAGGGATGGTCAAACCCATTATATGCTGAAAAGGATTCACCATCACTATAGTCTGATATTTTAACATATTTTTGCATTCCTATTACATCTGGAAATTTTTCTTGGCCATACTTGCATTAAATGGAAGAAGCCATTTCAGCTGTATTAGGTCCTTGTTTTTTCTTTGGAATAGAGATGAATACCAAAATAAGGAAAGGAAGCAACCATTTATTAAAACGACAGTTGCCGAGGCATCTGTAGGTATTTAACAGTCAAAATGGTGACTTTAGCTTAGTGTTAAAAGTAGTCCCTAGATAGCTGTATTTGACCTGTGGAATTTGTTTTAAATGCAGATTTCTGTACTTCAACGCCTTGAACTCCCCTTCCCAGGGAGTCTGATTCAACAGTCTTGGGGAAGGGTCCCAGTGTCTGCATTTTTTAAAATGGCTCCTCTTAGGCATTCTAAAGTTTGTGACCTACTGTTTCCTGACCCATCCTGATTAGTCCTGGGCTTTTAATTGTGCGTATCTGCACAATTAAATCGTAATTGGTATTAATTTGGTAGTAGATTCTACTACTGTACTTTTTTCTCCTTTTCATGATGAGTGATATGTGAACAAGCAGCACTTGCGAAGCTCAGTTTCAAGTGAAGAATGCATCTGTGATGCAAAATCATCGACCACTTATTTGTAATGGTGTGTATGTAACCTTCACCAAGGTGTTTTACTAGGGCTAGTGCTTTTACAGGCATTTTCAACTTTGTAGATTGCTACCTCTGAATCTGAGAAACTTTTCAGCTAAAGTCAAATCGAGTTTGATACTGTTTCATGGATTCATTGGTACACCCTCCCACCCTGTTTGTTTGTATTTTGCAATTGTTTGAGATTATTGTTTTGGTGTTTTGCACTAAGCAGTTGCTTGGTTAATCCTAAACAACTACAGAGATGAGGGAAGCATGTGATTGTAACTGACTGCCTAGGGGGAGTACCTTTCAGTGAGGGTTTAATTTCAGTGTTTGCCAGAGAAGGCACTAGTAGCCATATTATCAGAAGATTGTAAGTAAATTGTAAAGTCTGATCGGGAGTTTTGTTATTTTTTTATGTAGCAAGACAGAAATTTTGTAGTTCAAATTGAGGTTTTTATATTCTAGATCTCGACCTGAAAATGAAATTACTTAATTTTGTTAACACTGATTCTAATATCTGAAATGAGTTTTCTTCCATTTATCAAACTCAAGCCTACCCTCCCTTCCATGAAGGTTTAACATGAAGGTTTAATAATTTATGAAGGAAATTGAACTAAATGTTCTTTTCTGAAATCTTTGGAATGTTAGCAGATACTGTCATTGACACTGAAAAATTGTTTAGAAAAGGGAAAACAGTTAAGGCTTCTGTCCACATTTTTTACTTGTAAACTTTTTCTTTTTGCTTTAAAAATGTTCAGAATTTGGGAGTGAAAATCGAAAGCAAAAAAATAGTAATTGTAATGCACGATGGCATCTATTAATATGTATTTTACTAGTTTTCATTCAGAGTCACCAAAATGTTCATAGTAACTTTACTATGTTACAATGGAGTAAGATAGAAAAGTAAGCATTTTCTACCCCACCCCATCCCCCCCTTTTTTTTTTTTTTGAGACAGAGTCTGTCTCTGTCGCCCAGGCTGAAGTGTAGTGGCATGATCTTGGCTCACTACAACCTCCATCTCCTGGCCTCAGCATGCCGAGTAACTGGGATTGCAGGTGTGCGCCACCACACATGGCTAATTTTTGTATTTTTAGTAGACAGGGTTTCACCATGTTGGCCAGACTGGTCTCAAAACTCTTGACCTCAAGTGATCTGCCTACCTCAGTCTCCCAAAGTTGCTGAGGTTACAGGCATGAGCCACCGTGCCCGTCTGGCATTTCCTCATTTCCTACCTTACTCCATAGTAACATAGTAAGTGTTGGCTTCTCAGAATTGCCAGCAGTCCATGTGTTATATGTTTATGTAATTACTGTTTGCTTTTCTTCCCAAAACATACAGAATTAGAGTGAATAGTATAATATAATGAACTCCCCATGTACCTATACCCAATTCAGTAATATTAGCACGTGGTCAATATTATTTCCTCTGTAGCCCTTCCATTATTTTGAAGCAATTCTGTATTTCAGCCTTAAATCCATCATTGTTTATCTGTAAAATATAAGGACTTTTAAAAAAACATAGCCGACCAGGCATGGTGGCTCACACCTGTAATCTCAACATTGGGAGGCCAACGCAGGCGGATTGCTTGAGTCCAGGAGTTCGAGACTAGCCTGGCCAACATGGTGAAACCCCGTCTCTACTAAAAAATAAAAAAAAAATTAGCTAGGCGAAGTGGTGCATGCCTGTAATCCCAGCTACTCCGGAGGTTGAAGGGGGAGGATCCTTTCAACCCAGGAGGCAGAGGTTGCAGTGAGCTGAGATGGTGCCACCACAGTCCAGCCTGGGCAACAGAGTGACACTCTGTCTCAAAAAAGAAATAGAATAAAATAACCACAATACCATAATCACACTGAAAATAATAGTAAGGTATTTACTAAATCTTTGGTTGCTTTAGGAAAATGTGTTTGTGTGTCTGTCATTATATATGTTATTAGACTTGATTTCCTCATGAAAGGAGAAGGTAGCTTAAGTTTGTGACATTGACTTTTTCCTAATACAGTTCTTCATTTTATGAAATATTTTCTCTTCTTCCCCGCCCCCCCCCCCCGCCCCCGGGATGGAGTCTTGCTCTGTTGCCCAGGCTGGAGTGCAGTGGTGTGATCTCAGCTCCCGGGTTCAAGCGATTCTCCTGCCTCAGCCTCCAGAGTAGGTGGATTTACAGGTGCATGCCACCGTGCCTGGCTAATTTTTGTATTGTGGTAGAGATGGGGTTTCACCATGTTTACCGGGCTGGTCTTGAATTCCTGACAACAAGTGATCCTCCCTAGGCCTCCCAAAGTGCTGGGATTACAGGTGTGAGCCACCGTGCCCAGTCCTTCTCTTCATTTCTTCCTAGTAGGTTAGGAACATTGTTGTATTCATTTATCCAACGAAAAAGTATTGCTCTGCCGGGCGCAGTGGCTCACGTCTGTAATCC